GGGTACTTCCCCAATGGATTGACATACGAAAGACACAAAACAACACACGCATTATATGCGTGCACCTAATGAGTAATGTACAATATTTTACGGCATGGTTTACTTTACAGACCCCGTTGAAGATATAAGAAATGCATTAAATAAATAATGCTTATGAACTAAGGCACAAACGAGAGATCCCAGACGCATGTAGAGGTCCTATTACCTATCCCAAAATTAAAATAAATTGGGAATAAATCACGTAAAATTAAACAAACGTTAGAAAGTAACGAAATATTTCGCAAAAAATGAAAATAACGAAGTAAAACGTTACTTCTTAAAACCACTTCCTTCCAAGTAAAAGTAGCCCAGATGGCCCAGAAAAAGTTACATGCTGACTTCTCAGAAATAGTATTCAAGTACAGTAACGAAGTACATTTACTTCTTTACTTGACACCACTGATTATCGTGAAATTAGGCAAAACAGGTTCTTAAATAGGTTCTTGTTTTCTAAAGAAAAAGCGACTCAATTTCGGTTGGTGTAGGTACAGTTATTTTTTGTTGATGTGTTGAAACAAACATGCTGTTTATTGTTATGACATATCCAGGATTCTGATTTCTGGGTCATTTTCATTACTTTATGAGAGCTTATTTTCTTTGATTTATAAATTTTTAGCTTCAACTCTTAAAGTCATAAAAATAAAATAAAATCGTGTTTGGAATTTTAGTCTAAACAGGTTCTTGTATAAAGAGGGCCTAAATCATAGAAATAGTAGATAATATTTCTAAATAAACAATTTTAGCCTAACAGGTTCGTAAAATCTAGGTTCTTATACGCGGGGTTTTACTGTATCATGTGCATAATCAGCCAATTTAATGACAAGAATTTAAGTTATTTAAAGCATATATGTACACAAATAAATATAGTTTAAAACACAGCGACTTGCTCTTCTTGCTTTCAGAATCAATCACAATCACTAACAATCACAATCAATAATTGAAAGATAATCACATTTTTTTTAAATTTTACCACATAGTCTACTAGCTGTAGCCACTGTGACGTAACACACAATGCATTCTATCATTTGCTTTAATTTTATTGCATTTGTAGTATTTCGTCACAATCAAACTTTTATTACGAAAACTAAAAATAAACATGGATTACTCTAGATTTCCTGCGGTTACTAGCTTTATTTATTAGTTTCGATTTAGCTCATTTTAGGTGGTGGAGATTTAAACAAGTGAGATAAAGTAGGGATATTGTCAAGAAACATGTTAACTGTGTTTTTATGTTAATAGATATAGATGAATGTTGTGTTGGAACATCCTGTCATGAACAGTCTACTTGTGCAAATTCTCTTGGCAATTTCACATGCATATGCAACAGTGGATATTCTGGAAATGGAACATTTTGTGAAGGTATAATCATAAATATTCATACAACATAATTAATTTATAGATATAATTTTAAGGTGATGAGAAAGCCAAATTAGAAACCATAAGGCTTTTAAGTACGTTGGGCTCATTGTAATATTACAATATGAGATTTATTATTTATAAGAGTTCTAATGGAACTCGAGTTGCATATGAGGTCATGATACTGTAGCTGAAGCGGTGCTTAGAGTTACTGTTTTATTGTGTTTAGAGCCTCTTCCGTATGACAATATTTTGGCAATTAGTTTGGCAACCACACAACTTCGCCCAAACCTGAGAAAACATTTCTGCTCATTTTTTTTCAGTAGTTCGAACATTGCTAGAACTTGACATTTTTATATATTTAATTTTTTTATCAAAACAAGCGCTTGTTGACTTCCCTTTTATGAAGAGTTTTCCCTTTTAAATCAGATTTTTCCTATTTTTTATCTTCCCTCTTTCGCTATTATTTCTTTTTAATTTTTTTTAACTAGTTTAACTGCAATTTTTATCATTCCTTGGATAAAGTCGCTTGTTTAATTTAAAGGTGGCCCCCTAAATTTTAACGAAATGTTCAAAATGCAGAGATTAGATCAATTCTTTGAAGAGATGTTATTTGCTAAAAATAAAAAATTGTACACCATACATACAAAAGTGAAGTCACCACTATTGCTATGGCAACATGACGACTCAAGATGACCAATATTTTGGCTTTTAATGCATTTAACCTAGTTAAAAAACGCCTGGGTTACCCCCTTTTTTTTTTTTTTTTCTGAAACATTTCCTTGCAATACAATAAAATATATGACGAATTTTGCATGCTTATGTCTGTCTTGTTGTAGATATTGACGAGTGTGAAGAAGAAGAATGTCATTCAAGTGCTACATGTGTCAACAATCCTGGATCATTTGTCTGTAATTGTAATCCAGGTTTTATTGGCGATGGTGTAATCAGCTGTTCAGGTACTCAGAACTTTGTAATAATCAAATGTGGTGTGGCCCAGTCCCATGGTAATGTACTGTACAATCTTTGCAATAATTCAGTTTTTAATAATGATTAAATAATGGTTTACTTTAACAACCTTGTTAAATCTCTTGTATTTAACAATTATTCGCCGAAGGCTCGGTGATTATCGGGGAATATTCACCGAGACAAGATCGATGTGTATATTCCCCAATAATTACCGAGCCTGAGGCAAATAATTGTTTTAGTATTTTTACACAAGTCTTTTGGGTTTTTTGGACTTAATTTATCTTAATTTCGCTTATTTCGTTATCCGTGATTTCCACAAAACGGCTAGTCGCCATTTGTAAACTAGTTTTTACTGTTATATTCACCTGTTGGTGAATATAAGAGAGTACTGTACCACGTCAAATGTTTCCAATCACCACGTCCGATTTCTTATATTCACTTGTGTAAAATATTAAAGAAGGTTGTTAGCAAAACCTGCAGTTAAAACATAGGTAGCTAAAGGTAACCATACCCTAGGCTATCATTAAATTCCCAAAACTTATTGTTGAAAATGGCGTGGTTAACTATGTGATTAGCTAACAATCAGACTAACTTCGTTTCGTGCACAACAGTTAAGTTGTGTAGACAATTACTAGAGCCATTTCTATGAATAACACTATGCAATGGATAGTGATTTGTCAAGTTTCCCGAGAAATTCATTTATTGAGATAACCTGGATTAAACTTTAACGTTTGTAGATAAACAAAAGTTTCTTTTTATTGATTGTTACGTAATTCTGCTAAATGTATCGCTTTTACACGTTTAGGGGATTACTGGGATGAGCACTGAAAGTCAGTATATTTGTTAGCAGCTCTGTTGAGACCAAATTTCTGTTTTTAGATAATTGCCAGGTACCCTATTTATTCTTTTCCACATCATCGGGGACATTCTCCTATAACACAGAAGAATCTACAAGTAGCCCAAACATGTTCAATAGCCGTGTCAATGCCTTACTGTCGTTTGATGATATGAACAAAAGGTTGTATTTCTATACAGCGAATGATGAAATTACAAGTTATAACTTGAATGGTTCAGATTTGAGCACAATTACCATTCAGAATGTGGAATTTTTTACTGTGGATGGCCGGAATAATTTGTTATATTATCATCAGCGACTTCAAGATAGAATATTTGTGTACAATATCACAAGTACTCAAAGTACTCAAGTTGGAGCTCTGTCAAGTGTTACTGGTACGAAAGATATGGAAGTGAAAAATGGGTAAATGCAATTATACTTTGTTTTATTGGTTGATTTGAAGCGTTCTATTCTTTTCTGTTGCTTATATCTTTATTTTTGTCTCACGCCCGTGTGTATGTTCAATTTTTTTTTTATGTCCCACTTCTCTTATCTTCCTTTGCGTTTTTTTAATTTTTTGTTTGTTTACTTTGTTTCATTTTTAACTTGCTACATTTTTGTTTTTGCCATGTTTAATGCGAACTAGTGGTACGAAATACATTTTGTGCCATCTGTAAAAATATTAGACAGGTCATTTAATTTTCTTTTAAAACTATTGTTGCGCAAGGTATGGGTTATGGGTTAGGCGACAGATAGAATATTTGATGAACGCACAGGACTGTTAATATAGGATATCATTATTGAGAGTAAAGTTTGGTACTGAATTGCATTTATAAGGATTTGTGATGGTAATTTGTCCGAACTGACTCATTTCTTTTTATAGTTATCTCTACATTGCAAAAGCAAGTTATCCAACCATCATACGTTACAATCCAAGGAATGAATCTATTACGCCTTTCAACTCCACGACTGGTTCAGCGCAATCACTTTCTGTTGATGAATATGATAATGTAATATATTGGGCTAATTATGACGGAACCAGTCACAGGGTTATGAGAACTCTGCTGAATGGAGAAACAGTTGATTTAAACATAACATATTCTGGAGAGATTGATTTGACCTCAGATGTGTTTAATTTTTATGTCCTGGTCAAAGCAGACAACCGAATTGACCAATACTTGAAGACATCAATTGAAAAGCAAAAGAATGTTACCTTTAATGGTCCAATAGAAGATTTAATAATTGCATATGGTGAGTTTCATCTGAAAGAAAACAAATCAATTTTCAAGTTTGGTTTTCTCTTTCTGTACCAAGTAGCAAAAAATGGTCTTCTCACTGGTAGGAGTTTTGAAATAGAAAGTAATGAAATATTAAGTTTTTGTAAATGGAAATTTCGCGTGAAAAGTTTTAAACATTTTTATATCTGACCTGGAGCAACTGCAAAACGTGCAATTATATAGTCTCTCAAACCTGCGGCCGTTTGATTCCACTGCAGGGCTCATGCATATGACTTCCAGGGTGGATTTATAGGAGGGTGCACAGGGCTGCGCACCCCTTGCCCTGTTGTTGGTCATGGTCAACATGGGAGCATGGGGGGTGCAAAAAAATCAAATTCAGGAATATGGCATAATTTCCAAGGTTTTTCCTTTTTTGAAGTCAAACTGAAGCTCATAATTCAATGCCCATATCGCGGGAAGTGGCATTTCTGGGGTTCTAATTTTCAAAATTTACCTCTACACAGCCAATTTCGCGCACGTCGAAACAGATCTGCAGCAGGTCTGTTACAACTTGTTGTCAACAAGCCAATATCTGGATGCGTTCGCTCGCCTTGTACCTGTCTGTCCTGACAGGTTCACAACTGCTTGTCAACAGGCCTGTTACAAGCTGTTGTGACAGAACTGCAGCAATGCTGTTTTCAACAGGCGTGTCGCAAGTTGTTGACACCATGGGTTGTAAAATAACAGATCATAACATTGTTATTTTACAATCCATGTTGATACAGAGCTGCAGCAACGCTGTTGTCAACAACTTGCGACAGACCTGTTGCAAACCGATGAAGGCACATCCTTGTCGGTTGCATAATTTAAGATATGTACTAGGTAAGGTTTGAAGTCTAGACAGGAAGTATTGCTCAATGTCAAGCAAAATCGCTCAATTTTGAAGGAAAATGTTGCTTTTTTATTGCAGTTTAAACTCGCTTTATAAAATGTAGCTATTTATTTTCCTTTTTGGCAAAAATTAAGCTTTAATTTCGCTATTTCAGACGGGAATTATGTTCGGACTTGATCTCTGTCGAAGCGTGTTTTGAATTTGGATTATGCGTTAATTATAACCAACCAATCAAATCCACTGCCCAAATCTGGGTAGTAAAACGTCATCAGTATGGAATTTCTCGCCTCGTTGCTCAGACGTCTATCTTGGGAGGAACGAGCAATAATAGACGGCTGTTTATCAGGGTAGTAGCCTAAGGATATTTCCATGAATAAGAATTACTCAAATTTTCTATAATGCCTTGAATTTTTTTATTTGTGTCGGAAAAAATTATTTTTTACGTAATTATAAAGGATTTGCAAAATTCACTTTTATTTAATTTAATTTAATTTAATAGGTTAGCCTTTGTAAATATTAATTATTAGCACATGGCAGGGAATCCGCAACAGCGCAAGCCAATTACTGCGGCCCCTTAAAAACTTAACAACAACAAACATAATGATAATATAGGAACGAGTTGTTTCCTTGTCCTCAGAGGCAAGTCATAAGATACTACTTTTATTTATAATTTAATAATCAATATTGGTCAATTTCTACCCGTTTTTAATCCATTGTTTATTCATTTGTATAGATGAAGATGAATGTTGTGTTGGAACGTTTTGCCACATGAACGCTACATGCTCCAATTATCTGGGAGGTTTAAACTGTTCTTGTAATGACGGTTTTACTGGTAATGGTATGGATTGTGAAGGTACGTTTAAACTTATGCGCTGTTATTTTCCTTTTGTAAAAACAACCAAACATCATTCATTACCATCAAATGTTATGCAGTGACGTAATAACAGCCGGAGACAAGTCTAAAGGATACAACTGTTAGGCTGAGCGATCACAATAGCTTTCTGTAGGTCCGACTCTTGTAGATCAGATCCTCTCTAATGGTTTGAAAGTTCATGGTTCTCACTACCAGATTTCTGTCGACCTGGCACAACACTAAATTGTTTCCATTTTTCTTTACTCTATATACCTTTCCTCAGTTCTTTTCTATTGGTATTTTTTTCTTTCTTTTTCATTTTATATTTTCTCTATGTTATTTCTGTGTCCTTCTCTTCCACAAACGCTCATTTTGTTTTCTTTTCTGTTTTGTTCAATTGTATTTTGTTCAAACATTTGATGATGTTCTAATATTGTTAAAGTTAATAATCAATAACAAACTTTGGTTGGTAGAGATACAACTACCTGGAAATATAAGGAGAAATTCGACGTTTCTAGCGAGGGCCCTTTGTCAGGAAGTGAGTAGCTGGGGTCGGGAAAATCCATAGATATCTTATATACACTAGATAGCGCATCTCTTTTAGTAAAATTGAAGCCGAGAATATTCCAGCGGTTACCCCCATTTGAATAGATGGCGGCCATGTTGGAGTTTCCCACTCGTTAATAAACGCTTAAAAAACAACAATAACTTTCATCATTTCAATAGTTTGAAAATGTATTTGGAATAGGTGTAACTCAATGTTTAAGTTCCCTGTTTAAGAAATAGAAAACATACGAGTCTACTCATTTCATGGGAATATCCTGAGTCTGCAATCACGGCTTTTTTGAATTGCAGAATAATTAGGTGCACTATCTAGTGTATATAAGATATCTATGGGAAAATCACATGAGCTTTTATAAAAAAAAAACACATAAAAACGATCACGTGACAAATTTCAAATAAACCAATCATATGCAGGATTTAGTCAAACAAACTATCAACAAAAAGAACATTACAAATATGGAATAAAGTAAGAATTAAAAGTACTGCAAATATCTGCTTTAGACAGACAAAGACAGATGGAGTTAAGAAAAACGTTCATTAATGCCATAGGGGTGGACAGTGCCAAGTTACTAACTTCCCCGACGAAGGACCTTCGCTCAAAATGTTAAATTTCACACAGTTGCATCTCTATAACAACGAAAGCGTCGTTATTATTGGCACTACCTACTCTGGCAATTCAACATTAATAAAAAATACATCAAGTTTCCTCATAGTTGAAATTTACTATGTGAGGAGCTGCATCATTATTATAGTTCCCTAGTATGTTATTTATGATTGTTTGTTCTTCCTCATCCTTCAAGACCATCATCTTTATTTATTCTTATGTTTTGAATAATATCATTCACTTCCATACTTTTGGATCGCCAAAATAATTTTACCTATTATCATGACTCACTTCAAGACATAATATTTGTGTACAATATCACAAGTGGTCAAAGTGCTTCAGTTGGAGCTCTGTCAGGTGTTAGTGGTGTTCGAACATTTGTTAAATTTAATAATCATGGGCGTCAATCCTGGGGGGATTGGGGGGGTCTCGTCCCCCCAGTTTTTGGAGTGGGGGGGGGGGACGAATATCTTATTATCCCCCCCCACTTTTTAACATGTTTCATAAAATATGATTTTTTCTGTGTTGGTGTTGTGTACTCAGGCTAGTTTTGGGTTAGTATTCCAAAGGTCGTAGGTTCGATTCCCACCGTAGCCGGGCATATTTTTCAAGCTCGCCCGGTGTGGATATACACTCAGACTCAGAGTAACATCACAAACATCATGTTTTATAAATTTTGTTTCTTGGTAATCTAAAAACCTAATGCCTAGCATGCTATTCATCCAGACTTGTGGTTGGAACGAAGACATTTAATTTGATGAAGTACATGTATGACTTTTCTGTAGCTGATGGGAGCAAATACTGACATAGCATATGCTACGTGAATACTAAAAAAATATTCAAAATTGAATTCAAATTTGTAAATGTGTTGTAATTTTATAAACATTCACATAAAGGCACTACAGTATTTGTTGTATTCACTTCCTGTTCTAACTGGCAAGCTGCACTGAATGAGACAATAATTCGTTTTGCTTGTTTTTTTATTATTACGCCCGCAAAAAGTATTTAGGAGTTATTTACATTTTGTTTTTCTATTTTGGATAGGCTAGGGGCCTTCTAGAATCCTAATAGGCTTTTTAATTAAGACCCCTTACATTATTTCATTCTTATATTTAGTCAGTTCGATCTATTATATTGAACAACAATAAAAATATATAATATAAGATAAAACATTAACATGCATATAAACTTAATTATATACATTCGAAGTAAAAGATACTATATAATTATGTATATTTACAGTAAAGAAGGTAATAATATATTTTAAACTATTATACATCAATTATTGAAGCTAATGGACATAATCGTAATTTACTAATTTAACGACTAAATTAAGATTTAAGACTAGATAATTTTATTTTACCATTTTCAAAAGTTCAAATATATAGAGAATATTACACAGCGGCGCGAAGATATGACTTTTATCTTCGAGTGGTGAAAACAATATTTTACGAACGAGCGCAGCGAGTGAGTAAGATATTGTTTTTAGCACGAGAAGATAAAAGTCGTATCTTCAAGCCTCCGTGTAATGTTCTGTTTATTATATAGTCCCACGCAAAAAATTGTGAAATTTCACGCTCAAAAGCAGATTGGAAAAAGTCACGTGATCGATATCTTCACTATTGAAGATATGGAAAATATCTCACTGTGTATTTTTCAGTATTCAATGTACAATATTCAATGTACTAGTGTTTAAACATGCATGTCATTTCTACGATGTAGTTAAGAGCTATATTTCCAGCAAAAAAAAATTAACATGTATGGTATGACTACTGTCAAAGTATACGACCAAAAAGTCTGAATATGTATGATTGACCTGTTTGCTACAGTAATTTATGTTCCTTGAATAGTTTGTGTATATTACTCAACAGTTGGCATTGGCAAATGTAATCCATGCTGTAGTCACAAGTGACAGAACATTTGCTTCATATGATTGATACAATAAAGTTTTGAAAAACTGTCAAAATTCTATGAGCGTGGATCATTGAGATACATATACAGAAATGTAAACGTTAACTTCTCTATATATTGTTTAAATTTGGATGCTATATATATGTCATTGGTATGGATTGTGATTTTGCATATCTCGGGGCCGTAGCCACCGGTCCGGTTGGTCCGGTTTCAACCAGACTACTTTCTGGAGCAGCAGAAAATTTTTTGAGGTGTTAGACTTTGCGCCAATATTATAGGTAAAGTTTTATCTTGGAAGTGTCAAAATGGTTATGATTAAGATATTTTCTTTGGGCGACTATCATCATTATTAGTGTAATCATATTCAGGATTCCAATCTAACTGTACCACTAATAAGTTGACTGCTACTACCCTGTAGATTGTCAAGTTATCAGTGTGACATCCCAGTTTGTGTATCAACAATGGCGTCACAACTTAGTTGACCTAAGGAAACTTTTGTTACTGTTATGGTAATGTTATGGCAAGTGGAATTTATAGCAGCTATTTTATTCACTATGAAAACCAGACCTCATTATTTTATTCAATACTAGAATCTAACATTATTAAACATTTATTTTCAATTGAAAACTTTGTTCTACTGTATATAATATATGCTAGTGATATTAATTTTTAAATATTGTATTTAAATAAATTTACGTGGTGTTTCCACAAACAAAACTATTATAACTAATATATAGTTAACAACTTTGATGTGCTTTATCCCACTTGCACAACCTTGGTTTTTAGCGGATTTCTCACATGGTTCAAAAGGAACTTATTGTCACAGCGATAAGAGTTTTTATTGCTTCCCGGAATAATTTATAGTTGAAATTAATTATGCGAAATAAGTTATTTGCGCGCGCAAGTTAATTTAAGTATAGTCAAGTTAAGTATAGTCACGTATAGTCATTTATCAGTGGTGAAGCGGGCCACCTTTCCTATTCTACGAGGGCTGCAGTGCACATCAAAGAGATTTACATGGAAGAGATTTACCCACCCTCCTCCCCGTTTATATAGTTATTAATTAATAATTTTTCTTGTTAATTATTAAAAATTGATTAAAACAATAAAGCGGCTATGTGCTAACAACCGGGCACATAAGCCATAATTATGCCATAAAGGCTTTGACTGGTCTTGTAGTATTCGGCAGCACAGAAAACCGAGCTCAGCCTGACAAACAGTTTGCCGATGGTGGTTTAATATATGCAGGGAAGCGATAAATGGATTTAAGATCATGCACATTGTATTATAACTTTACAAGTGCCTCGAAAACGCTGGAAATGCCATTTCAGTGTACCAAAATTAAAAAACGAATTTCGGGTAGCATACCTCCGGACCTTCCTAATTTGGAGTCCGCCCCCCCCCCACTTTTTGGGATGGATTGACGCCCTTGTTAATAATTAATTCATCGAGTCCTGCACCGGACATATTATGGTTGACATGATTTGCCAACAAGCTTATGAATTATTAATGAGTGTTTGAAGTGAGGAGTCGCATCATTATTATAGTAGCTACCTATATTCTGTTATTTACGATTGTTTGTTCTTCTTCATTAAGACCGTCATCTTTATTTATTCTTATGGTTTGATTAATATCATTCACTTCCACATGCTTTTGTTTTCTTCTTCATATCCATATTTACCTTCATCTTTCATTTCACTGTTTCATTTACGTGGCAATGTGATAAAACATTCACTGTTGAGTGAACAATGTTAACACTGGCATAAAATTACACTTAAATTACACTGGCATAATTTTCTATTTGTTTAAATGTTGTTACTCTTAATATACTGTATATCACTAAACAGAAGTTTCCTCGTTAGATATTTTGAAAAATAATGATAACAGTAGCATTAATCCATTTCAGCTACAAACTGCAGTGATCTTTCCTGTGGACAAAATCAAGAGTGTGTCCAGGTGAACAATACCTTCGCATGTGTTTGCAAGGATGGATATGAAGAACCCGATTGCCGTCCGAGTAAGAAGTCCTATATTTCATTTAATATTAATTGGCATGCTTAGTGTCCTTCCAAAATAAGATTAAAATATTTTTCTATGTTTTGAGTTGGAACTTTAATCGGATATTAATTATGAACTTTTCAGTAATAGCCCCTGTTTTTGTACAATAAATGGAAGTATGTCGTTATTAGAAAGAAAGATTTTGATTTCGCTATATCCAGATCTGCAGTACTTCATCTAGTTGAATTCTTCCAGTACATTGTGGACTCTTCTGCAACAAGGAATGGCAGTTTTACGTTATTCCATCCATTTCTTTATATAACTTACCTGCTCCTACTGACACTTTGTTTTGCCTAATTTGTTCATTCCTGTCACATTACTAAATTGCTTCCATTTTTGTTTTGTACATTCCCTCAATTCTTCTTAATTTGTATTTATTCATTATTATAGTACTCTACTATCATATTAATCATTGTTAGTTCTTCTTCACTAAGACCATCATCTAATATATGTCTATTCTTTTGATTTGATTAATATCATTCACTTCCATGGTACTGTTTTCTTCCTCATCTCCATATTTACTTTCATTCTTATGTTCATTTCAGTCTTTCATTTCTGTTTTCAATTACTCTCTACATATGTAGCTTGTCAGACTATTGATTTGCAGTTGCCTGAACATCCTGTACATTTGCGCTGAACATTTTCCCTACTACTTACTATATTGTTAGCAATTAGCCATTTATCAATCAGAGTTTATGTATTTCAACTTCACAAACAAATATTCCATTTGTGCAAATAGAAATTCGAACTATATGTATGTAGAAGCAAATAGAGAACTATTTTCCTAAACCATACCCTTTGTCTGACAAAACCGATAAAAAGTTGGCTAGGTATCAATTTCCAAAAGATTTTATAGACAACCGAAAATACTGAAATTGGTCTGCAGTTCATGCGCTCTCGGTTATTACCATTACATTACCAGCCATTTTTGACAAGTTGAATATCTCCAGCAATAACGAACCAATGGAAATGTAGCACAATCTTGCAATTTTAAACAACCCTATTTAGGCTCTGATGAAGCCGCCATATTGCAGTGCCAAAGTATATTTGTGTTTACATTGCAGTTTTTTAAAAGGTAGATAGAATATCATTTACCTTCATTAACTGAAGCTGTGATAAAAAATAGCAAATACAGTACTGCAATGTTGAGTGAACAAATTATAAATGTAAACAATCCATTAAAAATAATAGTAACAATTGTTATAATTTATTTCAGCTACAAACTGCAGCGATCCTTCCTGTGGACAAAATGAAGAGTGTGTCCTGGTGAACAATACCTTCACGTGTGTTTGCAAGGATGGCTATGAAGAACCCGATTGTCTTCGTAAGAATTTGCTCTATTTCTCTTTTAAAATTAATTGTCGTTGTTGTCTCCGTTTAAAAAAATATTAAAGCATTTCTTTTGAGCGGAAATTTTTGACAAACATTACCCATGTGCAATCTGTAAAAGAGCTGGGTGTTACATTTGTCTGTAGCTTAAGCTTAATCAAAAGGCGCTGAAAATGTTTTTCATGAAGGAAACAAGTCATAAAACTTTATATTAAACTCTATTACAGATTGTTTATGTCTTGCTTAGTTTTCAAAATATTTCGACTGAAAAAGTGAGGTGTTCACCACTTGAATTATTGAGGCTATGCATGTTACGTCAAGAGAGGGGTCACGCTCACTGGCTTAGCCAGTGGCCCGTCCACCCGTCATTTTGGACGTGTATTTTCGAATGTGGACGGTCAAAAGAATGTTAAAACTCCAGTATTTTGTCTTTAGTAACCGTATGGGTGGGTTTCAGTCACGTGATACGTTTAGCGTTTGGTGGTCAAGTCCGAATGGTAACACATTTATCGGATCGAGTTAAATATTCATTATAAGTATTGATCTTGTGCGGTTTGGTGTCAAATATTATAATTAAATTTAACGAAATTTACTTGCTTCCACAAGGCGTAAAACGCCAAATGTGTAAAATTGATCACCAAGAGTTTCCCTATATATAAGTCTTGAGTGAAATACACCTATACAAGCTTAAATTTTGCTATAACATCACATTCAACATGCACTGCACATCCCTGCACATATACATCCACAAGCAAACTAGTTACAAAACCATATTTGTATTTGTGAAATATTTCGTATTTTGCGATTATGACCGTGATCAACCATGTTTTCAGTGCAAATTTACGCATGTTCTTTTCACTACTAAGAATCATGTTTTTAGAAGATAAAGATACAAGATAATCTTTTTTGGGTGGGAGGGGGTATGCCTGGTCCACCATTTTTGGATGGGTAGATCCTGGCTTGGTCCTTGGTCACGCTAATTTTTTTGTCTTGAGTGTAGGCGATCAATATGGTTCCAAAACGTCGTTTCTGGTTGCTGCGTGAAATTTGGAAACGACTAAAACATTTCAAACAAATTTGGATTGTTCATGCATTTTGGAGTAGTTTTATTTGGTTACCCCATCTGGCGCCATCAAAACCATGGTTAATGAGGTCAAGAATTAGTCCAAGATGGAGAGCAGCTCATTAATAGACAACTTGAATGTTAGACTAATTTTTATTTAGGAAAAAAAAGTTAATTCCCGTAAAGAACTTATTAAAATCAGTAAAATTGCAAAATTTGGTTACGAAATGTTGTAAAATACGGAAAATATAGCCTTGCGAAGTTTGCATATTGTCAATATGTTTGTATTACGTGCGGACATTGTTACCATTTTTGAGCCCAAAATGGTAACAATTTCCGCACGTAATATAAATATACTGAAAATATGCAAACTTCGCAAGGCTATATTTTCTGCATTTTACAACATTTCGCAACCAAATTTTGCAATTTTACTCATTTCATTAATTTCTTTTTAACTGTTGTGTTTTATTCCCTTCTCTTTACTTAGATTAAAATTTAGTCTATATGCAAGTTGTCCATTTCGGTCTAACTATTTCCAGAACTAAGCAAGATATAACAAATCGATAATAGAGTTTAGTATATAATTTTAAGTTCTTTTGAATAAGACAAACTGTTTTTTAATTGCCAAAGTCCTTTAAAATAAAACATTTTGTGTATCAATACAAGAGCTATTTTTGGCGTCTACTGCAACAGTAGTCGCCATATGCAGTCGATAAGAAGTTTAGGCCCTGTTTACACTATACCGGATTCGCTGGTCACGACATCTTCTTTTGCCGTTACGGAGCAATGGTTAGTAGCAAATGCTTATTAGTTTCACAGAATTGGCATGTTTATTTGGGTTTCTGAGATTAAAAATCTTCACAGCTTTTCGATACCTACAAAATTTGACCCACTCCGATAGCAATCCGGTATAGTGTAAACGGGACCTTAGATACATGCAGTGGACGGTTCACCCTGCGAACAGGCTCTTTGGTTAGGTTAAAGCCCGCGCATCTACGAAAGTTTCCAAACTGTTTACGTCTTTACGATAAATGGTTTTATCATGCCGTCCGCCCTTGAGTTCCGAAATTCACGACGGGAAGATTAAATATTGAAGAACTCCGCGAGTACTTACAGTAGAATACGAAATTACCACCAAAAATTCCCCTGAAAGATACTATATACTCGAACAATGTAAAATAACCATAAAATATAAACTAGCCATACTCGAACAATGTAAACAATGTATCACTAAGTCATACCTTTCGCCGAATATAAGAATGTTTGGCCAAGCGGTGAGAAAATATACTATTGTTTTGGTTCGTGTAATGTTATGACGGCATTTGACGCCCACCCCCTGTTTGAAAGGTTATTTAATGAGGATTTCAACTGTGGTTTTCGCTTTAAAGGGGTGGTAAATATTGCCGGGATATTTTAATCTTCCCCACTAGTACTCCAAATTTGGAAACGTAAATGTAAACCGGACGGCATTGACATTCTTTGTTTTTGATCCAGTAGACGCCATGTACGCTACAGCGTACCTATATTTTACTAAGTTAGTATTTAGTAAGTTAAGTCATTGTTCCACTGTAGTCTGGTCTAACACTACAGATAGTATTATGCAAAAATACAAGGTAGACACAACATTTCTAGCTGTACTATAGTGGAACCAAGAAGTGCAATCATACAACTTCAGTATTAAAGGAACTATGATGCAGATGGATACCCGATATAACTTATTTACAACTTTGTTATAGGGAAGCAATCATGACTTTTAAATGCATGACGGGAATGGCACCTACTTACCTAAGTTTACAATTTGTACGTGGAGGTATAACCTGGAAGATCAACCAGAAAATCATTTTATTACAACATTCCACTTGATAAAAATGCATCTGCCCAGCGGATCTTTCATCGTGCATTTCAATTATGGAATGATTTATTCCCAGAACTTAAAGTCGGCATGACAGTGCGAAACGTTAAACGTCAATTAACAAGAAGTTTACTACATACATTTTTATCACAGTTTTTGTAATATTATTGTAGTCATTTTCCATGTCCACATTATTTTCTGTTTTTAGGTCCAATGACAATGTGCAATATCCCTGTAGTCGTCTACTACGGTCCTAGTGCAATAAACTACCAAGTAACCATTAATAACGTAACAACCTCGGGAAGTCTTGGTAGTGGAGGAGCGAAAGACATGAACTACGACCGTTTATCCAGACGATTGTTCTATTATGTGTCAGGCAACTTTTACAGCGTTGAACAAGATGGTTCAGATTTAAGAGACATAGGAGCAGTAGGAAATGTTGACAGGTTCACTGTGGATGGACGAAACAATATCATCTATTACATAAATGATTTAACTGACATTATTTCCAAGTTCAACATGACAAACTCAGCTGAGACTGATCTTGGCATTCGTGCCAAGGACATTGACATGGACAGCGTCAATAAGTAAGTACTGTTAACTATGAAGTACTGTTAATCGTGACTGACCCTGGATTTCATGGATAATATGCAATTCAGCATTTGAATTAATTTACCTACAGATTTGGCAAACAAATAATAGCAGGTTTCATAGCAGTCTTTGAAATCATTGAAAGTCTTTTAATTTGAATTCAGGCTTTAAGGTCTTTGAAAAAATTTTGAAAAGTCTTTAAAAATCTTTAAAATCTTTAGTGAATACTTGATTATACGATTTCCTAGCTAGTAAAATAGATTGATTGAAGCAAGATTTACGAAAAGGTGTATATTAGGATGTGATTCGGCGGGACTAATCACCAGATAAAAATGGTGCTTACACTCGCATTTGTCGACAGCTGATTGATCTCAAAGGTCTTTGAAAATTAAGTCTTTGAAAATAGGCAGAAATAGTCTCTGAAAGTCTTTGAATATTTTTGGTCTTGGAGACTACGAACCCTGTATAATAGTGATTTATTGCAAATTCGGTCACTTGGTTTAGAATATAAACTTGAATTGAAATTATCTTCTGGCAATACAATTTCGTACTACATGCAGTAATTTATATGGACTATAAATTGTTGAATGAAGATTGCATTGAGAATCGTAGCAGTAAGGTCCATTCTAATAAGTTCTTTGAATGTTTGCATGGCGATAAAATATAATTGTTTTTGTTTGTGGAAACACAAATAAATTAAAAATAAAATTAAAAAAATAAAATAATAAAATAATTAAAAAATAAAATAAAATGATAAAATACAAAAAAAAATGATAAAATAAAATAATAAAATAAAATAACAAAATAATAAAAGTAATAATAATTATTTAAAATAATATAATATTTAAAATAAAAAAAATAATAAAATAATAAAATAAAATAATTATTTTATATAATAAAATAATTATTATTTAAAATAATAGTAATTAATAAAATAATAAAATAATTATAAATTTACGTGGTGTTTCCACAAACAAAAACATTTAAGGTCTATTCTATAGGCAAATCTCCTGAACTGGAAATTCTGAACTTTCATTTCTTTGGCGTGTTTGTTACTCCGAGTGTGCGAGCGCACCGGGCAGACTGAAAATCTACCTGCCACCTTCTGGATACTAGTCCACTGCTCTGCTGGTTAAGCAACGACTCCAACGAGACCAAGTCGGTTCGGGTGCCTGATATTTCGCAACTCAGTCTAGTTCCTTCAATATTATTGCGGTCTTAATGTGATAAAAATTTGCCACATTTTGTCTATATTCATCATCAGCTATCTATACCATATGTCACCATGTATAATACTTGTAGCACTATTTTGTGCCCTATATTTAAGACATTGCATCAAAGTTTTATCTTAAGAAACAGAAACGAATGGTAACGATTAGTCAACCAGTTCGATTTCCGTTCACGTATGTTGTATATTTTCTCCTCTAGTTACCTGGTTATTGTCAGGACGGATAGTGGTAGCAACATAGAGCGTTACAATGTTGAGACTGAAGTGGTGGATGCAATAAAAGCAGGAGGTGACTTTCCTCAGGATGTTTCTGTTGATGCTGATAATGGTGTAGTTTACTGGGTGAACGTCATTGGTGGTTCTACGTTTAAAGTCAAGAGTACCTCGTATGCTGGTGTAACAATAGACTTGAATATTACGTATACTGAGAGAATCGAAATAGCTCAAGACGAAGTTTACTTATATGTTCTGGTTGTTTCAAATGAGACAATCTATAAATATAGGAAAAATACATGGGAGCAGATGGGAAGTATTGTTGTTCCTAGTGGTACGAGTGGAGTTGAAGTTGCATTTGGTGAGTATTAGAGCCTATAACCTGTATCAATGAAATCAATTATAGTATCAGGCAAAAGAAAAAAATGCTTATTGTACTCCTGTCTTACTGTCATTCCAATTGAAGTGTTGCTCAAATATTGATTCAATACATTACCTCGGGCTGACCAATTCATTTGATCAAGTTCCTCGAGATATTCATACACTTGCTGTGAAAGAGCCAATTCCAAGTATTTGATAATTTCTGGTCACTTCCTGTCTATTTATGATTGGTTAGTTGCACAAACAACAAAGGTGATTGGTGCATTCAACCTATTCAACAGGAAGTTTACAATTATACTAGGAAGTGTATGAATATCTCGAGGAACTTGATGAAATGATTTGGTCAGCCCGAGGTCATGTATTGAATCAATATTTGAGCAACACTTCAATTGGAACGACAGTGACCTGTTAACACATTGTGATTCAAGCGTGTATTACATTATACCAACAATGAACGTTTATGAGTGTAATGGTAAAAATATTTTCAAGAGGTGAAAGATACAGTAGAATATTGAATTCCACGAGGCGACAGCGGAGTGGAATGGAAAATTCCATCTATTAGCTATTCTGAAGTTGATGAGTGTACTGGGGACGAGTGTTAAAAAGTGCCGAAATTAAGAAATGAACCAAATCACTAAAAAGACCATCTCAAAATTAGTAAGTATACAAAGTTTAAAGATATTTACATGAATACTCTTCCAATAATAAGCTTTCGAAAATTGCGATATTTACTATGAAATGTACTGTAATTTTTGTTTTTGTGAACGCACGTCCCAAAAATAATCTTTTAATTAATCAGTAATTTCACAATTTTCGAAAGCTTATTGTTCGAAGGGTATTCATGTAAACGTCTTCAAACTTTGTATAGGCCTACTTACTAAGTTTGAGGTGGTCTTTTTAGTGATTTGGTTAATTTCTTATTTTAGGCACTTTTTAACACTCCTCTCTAGTCCACTCATCAACTTCGGAATGGCTAATTAATGAATGAAAATACTTTTACTATTGCACGAAAGAAAACATTATTTGTTTTATATGACACCAAATTAATAAAAGCAGATCACTTTTATCGAATTTTTAAGTAAATGTATAATACAAAAAAAAACACATTCCTGGTTTAAAAATAATTAGAATTCAGCCAAAAAGTGCCAACAAACATTTTAGTGAAGAATTAATTAAGAAATAATGACTTATCATAAACATTCTCATACAAATATTGTCTTTTTACACCCGCCATTTTGCTTCGCACGAGTTATGTACTTGAATTTAATTCCATCGGTCTCAGGATGAAAATTATAGTTTTAAATGAACTACGATTACGATCGAATAGGATTTTGAATGATTGAATTTGATTATACCCTACCGTTGAATAGTACACGGCTGAGCGTGCAATAGTTTTTCTACTATGGCGCGGTAGCAAGATGGGAATATAAATTCCATACAGTAAAACCCCGCGTATAAGAACCTAGATTTTTCAAGTTAGCCTAAACAGGTTCTTATATAAAATTTTAATGGTGAATTAGCGTCAGTGGTGCCTAAATCACTTTGAATTTGTACTCGAATAAAAGTATAAGTAATTAACAGTAAAACGACTTGAGTAAGAGTAAAAAGTACTGGACGCAAAACGTACTTAAGTAAAAAGTACAACGTATCCTTAAAAAGTACTTCAAGTTAAAAGTAAAAATACTATTGTCTGTAGCGTGTAGGGGGGGGGGGGTACTTCCCCAATGGATTGACATACGAAAGACACAAAAGAACACACGCATTATATGCGTGCATCTAATGAGTAATGTACAATATTTCACGGCATGGTCTACTTTACAGACCCCGTTGAAGATATAAGAAATCCATTAAATAAATAATGCTTATGAAGTAAGGCACAAACGAGAGATCCCAGACGCATGTAGAGGTCCTATTACCTATCCCAAAATTAAAATAAATTGGGAATAAATCACGTAAAATTAAACAAACGTTAGAAAGTAACGAAATACTTCGCCACAAAATGAAAATAACGAAGTAAAACGTTGCTTCTTAAAACCACTTCGTTCCAAGTAAAAGTACCCAAGAAAACGTTACATGCTGACTTCTCGAAAATAGTACTCAAGTACAGTAACGAAGTACATTTACTTCGTTACTTAACACTGATTATCGTGAAATTAGGCTAAACAGGTTCTTAAATAGGTTCTTGTTTTCTAAAGAAAAAGCGACTCATTTTCGGTTGGTGTAGGTAGAGTTATTTTTTGTTGATGTGTTGAAACAGACATGCTGTTTATTGTTATGACATATCCAGGACTCTGACTTCTGGGTCATTTTCATTACTTTTGAGAGCTTATTTTCTTTGATTTATAAATTTTTAGTTTCAACTCTTACAGTCATAAAAATAAAATAAGAACCTGTTTGGAATTTTATCCTAAACAAGTTCTTGTATAAAGAGGGTCTAAATCATGGAAATATTAAATAATATTCTAAATAAGCAATTTTAGCCTAACATGTTCGTAAAATCTAGGTTCTTATACGCGGGGTTTTACTGTATCATGTGATCATAATCAGCCAATTTAATGACAAGAATTTAAGTTATTTAAAGCATATATGTGCACAAATTCATATAGTTTAAAACACAGTGACTTGCTCTTCTTGCTTTCAGAATCAATCACAATCACTAACAATCGCAATCAATAATTGAAAGATAATCACATTTTTTAAAAATATTACCACATAGTCTATTAGCTGTAGCCACTGTGACATAACACACAATGCATTCTATCATTTGCTTTAATTTTATTGGATTTGTAGTATTTCGTGACAATCAAACTTTTATTACGAAAACTAAAAATAAACATGGATTACTCTAGATTTCCTGCGGTTACTAGCTTTAGTTGTTACTTTGGATTTAGCTAATTTTAGGTGGTGAAGTTTTAAACAAGTGAGATAAAGTAGGGATATTGTCAAGAAACATGTTAACTGTGTTTTTATGTTAATAGATATAGATGAATGTTGTGTTGGAACATCTTGTCATGAACAGTCTACTTGTGCAAATTCTCTTGGCAATTTCACATGCATATGCAGCAGTGGGTACTCTGGAAATGGAACATTTTGTGAAGGTATGATCATAAAGATTCATACAACATAAATAATTTATAGATTTTAAGTACGTTGGGCTCATTGTAATATTACAATATAGATTTATTATTTATAAGAGTTCTAATGGAACTCGAGTTGCATTTGAGGTCATGATACTGTAGCTGACGCGGTGCTTAGAGTAACTGTTTTATTGTGTTTAGAGCCTCTTCCGTATGACAATATTTTGGCAATTAGTTTGGCAACCACACAACTTCACCCAAACCTGAGAAAACATTTCTGCTCATTTTTTTCAGTAATTCGAACATTGCTAGAACTTGACATTTTTATATATTAAATTTTTTATCAAAAGAAGCGGTTGTTGACTTTGCTTTTATGAAGAGTTTTCCATTTTAAATCAGATTTTTCCAATTTTTTATCTTCCCTCTTTCGGTATTATTTCTTTTTAATTTTTTTTAACTAGTTTAATTAAATATATAAAAAATATTTGGTAGCCTGTAAACAAATCTGAGAGTTTTTTCAATGTGCTTGATATTACGGTTCTCTCATACACAAAATTACGGTAATTCTTGAGCCCCCATCTTGTTTTCTGTACATGCAGCCAGGATATTCCTTATGAGCTAATATCCTGCTAGTAGAGAACCACTCAGGTTACGAAATATCTTATATCCGCGGTAGCTTTCTATATAATAAAATTAAGCTAATTACTTACATTCATTTTGCGCCTTCACATAGTGATCTTATGGACTCATACTGTGCATTGTCTACAATTTTCATCATTCCTTGGATAAAGTCGCTTGTTTAATTTAAAGGTGGCCCCCTAAATTTTACAGAAATGTTCAAAATGCATAGATTAGGTCAATTCTTTGAAGAGATGTTATTTGCTAAAAATAAAAAAAATGTTCACCATATATACAAAAGTGAAGTCACCACTATTGCTATGGCAACATGACGACTCAAGATAGCCAATATTTTGGCTTTTAACGCACTTAACCTAGTTAAAAAACACCTGGGTTACCTCCATTTTTTATTTCTGAAATATTTCCTTGCAGTATAACAAACTATCTGACGAATTTTGCATGCTTATGTCTGTCTTGTTGTAGATATTAACGAGTGTGAAGAAGAAGAATGTCATTCAAGTGCTACATGTGTCAACAATCCTGGATCATTTGTCTGTAATTGTAATCCAGGTTTTATTGGCGATGGTGTAATCAGCTGTTCAGGTACTCAGAACTTTGTAATAATCAAATGTTGTGTAGCCCAGTCCCATGGTAATGTACTGTACAATCTTTGCAATAATTCCGTTTTTAATAATGATTGAATAATGGTTTACTTTAACAACCTTGTTAAGTCTCTTGTATTTAACAATTATTCGCCGAAGGCTCGGGAATTATCGGGGAATATTCACCGAGACAAGATCGATGTGTATATTCCCCGATAATTACCGAGCTGAGGCAAATAATTGTTTTAGTATTTTTACACAAGTCTTTTGGTTGTTTTTTTTTACTGAATTTATCTTAATTTCGCTTATTTCTTTACCCGTGATTTCCACAAAACAGCTAGTCGCCATTTTGTAAACTAGTTTTTACTGTTATATTCACCTGTTGGTGAATATAAGAGAGTACTGTACCACGTCAAATGTTTCCAATCACCACGTCCGATTTCTTATATTCACTTGTGTAAAATATTAAAGAAGGTTGTTAGCAAAACCTGCAATTAAAACATAGGTCGCTAAAGGTAACCATACCCTAGGCTATCATTAAATTCCCAAAACTTGTTGTTGAAAATGGCGTGGTTAACTATGTGATTAGGTAACTATCAGACTAACTTCGTTTTGTGCACAACAGTTAAGTTGTGTAGACAACTAGAGCCATTTGTATGAATAACACTATGCAATGGCTTGTGATTTTTCAAGTTTCCCGAGAAATTCATTTATTGAGGTAACATGGATTAAACTTTAACGTTTGTAGATAAACAAAAGTTTCTTTTTATTGATTGTTACGTCCAATATCCGTATATTTTTTAGGTTTTCGACCATTTTTACGAATGTTAAAAAATCACTGTATGGTGGATAGCCTTATCTGGCTTTCATATTCTCTGGGATTTAACAACATTATTTATGCTCTAGCAGTCGGTTACAGAACTTGTTCTGCTAAATGTATCGCGTTTACACGTTTAGGATACTAGGTTATGGGTTGAGTGAGTGCATGGGGATTACTGGGATGAGCACTGAAAGTAAGTATATTTGTTAGCAGCTCTCTTGAGACCAAATTTCTGTTTTTAGATAATTGCCAGGTACCCTATTTATTCTTTTCCACATCATCGGGGACATTCTCCTATAACACAGAAGAATCTACAAGTAGCCCAAACATGTTCAATAGCCGTGCAAATGCCTTACTCTCGTTTGATGGTATGAACAAAAGGTTGTATTTCTATACAGCGAATGATGAAATTACAAGTTATAACTTGAATGGTTCAGATTTGAGCACAATTACCATTCAGAATGTGGAATTTTTTACTGTGGATGGCCGGAATAATTTGTTATATTATCATCAGCGACTTCAAGATAGAATATTTGTGTACAATATCACTAGTACTCAAAGTACTCAAGTTGGAGCTCTGTCAAGTGTTACTGGTACGAAAGATATGGAAGTGAAAAATGGGTAAATGCAATTATACTTTGTTTTATTGGTTGATTTGAAGCGTTCTATTCTTTTCTGGTGCTTATATCTTTATTTTTGTCTCACGCCCGTGTGTATGTTCAATTGGTTTTTTTTATGTCCCACTTCTTTTGTCCCGTTTTTTTTTATGCCCACTTTTTTATGTCCCACTTCCTTTGAGATTTTTTAATTTTTTTGTTTGTTTACTTTGTTTCATTTTTAACTTGCTACATTTTTGTTTTTGCCATGTTTAATGCGAACTAGTAGTACGAAATACATTTTGTGCCATCTGTAAAAATATTAGACAGGTCATTTAATTTTCTTTTAAAACTATTGTTGCGCAAGATATGGGTTATGGGTTAGACGACAGATAGAATATTTGATGAACACACAGGACTGTTAATATAGGATATCATTATTGAGAGTAAGGTTTGGTACTGAATTGCATTTATAAGGATTTGTGATGGTGATTTGTCCGAACTGACTCATGTCTTTTTATAGTTATCTCTACATTGCAAAAGCAAGTGATCCAACCATCATACGTTACAATCCAAGGAATGAATCTATTACGCCTTTCAACTCCACAACTGGTTCAGCGCAATCACTTTCTGTTGATGAATATGATAATGTAATATATTGGGTTAATTATGACGGAACCAGTCACAGGGTTATGAGAACTCTGCTGAATGGAGAAACAGTCGACTTAAACATAACATATTCTGGAGAGATTGATTTGACCTCAGATGTGTTAAATATTTATGTTCTGGTCAAAGCAGAGAATCGAATTGACCAATACTTGAAGACATCACTTGAAAAGCAAAAGAATGTTACTTATAATGGTGCAATAGAAGATTTAATAATTGGATATGGTGAGTTTCATCTGAAAGAAAACAAATCAATTTTCAAGTTTGGTTTTCTCTTTCTGTACCAAGTAGCAAAAAAATGGTCTTCTCACTGGTAGGAGTTTTGAAATAGAAAATAATGAAATATTAAGTTTGTGTAAATGGAAATTTCGAGTGAAAATTTTTAAACATTGTAAGATCTGACCTGGAGCAACTGCAAAACGTGCAATCATATAGCCTCTCAAACTTGCTGCGTTTGATTCCACTGCAGGACTCATGCATATGACTTCAGGGTGGACAGGGGTGCGCACCCCTGTTGTTGGTCATGGTCAACAGGGGAGCATGAGGGATTACAAAAAAAATCAGATTCAGAAATATGGCATAATTTGCGAGGTTTTTCCTTTTTTGAAATCAAAGTGCAGCTCATAATTCAATGCCCATATCGCGGGAAATGGCATTTCT